AGCTTTTGTGTGTGAGAGAAAAAGAACTGAGAGCATTGACCTCAGCTGCAGTCTGCCTACTCGGACATAAATTCCTTAAATAACAAAGTTCTTAAACTGTCTTTCAGAGAAAGCCTCCAGAATTCTCTCATGAACGGTTTGGAGCCAGTTTGTTAAAAAATGGGTAAGTCAGTTCACCCAGTCAATGACCTTTTCATGTCATAAGCTCAAAACTTCCAAAGCCTTAGTGTAAAACATGACAACTTCCCTGAAGAGAAATATGCAACTCATGAAGAGGTATATGATGCCCATTAATGCTGGTGCCATACAACCCTAAAACTCCCCCTTCTCACCATCCAATTAAAAGGCTGCTCTCCTCTCTCCCTTCCCAAAGGCCCTGTAGAAAACTGATGTGGAGGCAGATCTGAGCTCTCATTCAGTGCCTGGCCTCCTTGCCAGTTGACCATGCAATAGTGTTTTCTTTCATGCAAAACCCAGTACCACAGTATCATGAATAGCAGCAAACCTGTACATCATAACAGAACTTTGTGACAAGACAATGAAACCCAGAGGGTTGGGAAGGTAGCTTAGCCAATAAAGTGCTTGCTTTGTAAGCATGGGGCCTGAGTTTGGATCCTCAGCACCCATGTAAAAAGCCACGTACAGCAATGTGTGCCTACAATCTTAATGTTGGGAGGTGGAGATAGAAGGATCATGGGGTTAGCTAGCTAGCCAGCCTAATTGTTCAGCCAGTCTAGTTGAACCTAGGAGCTTCAGGTTCAATGAGAGACCCTGGCTCAAAGATCAAGGTTCAGGAGATGGAGAGATGGCAGAATGGTTGTAAGCAGTTCCTGCTCTTCCAGAGGACCCAAGTTCAGTTCCCAGCAGTGACATCAGGTGGCTCACAACCACCTAAAACTCCTTTCCAGGGGATCCAATGCCCTCTTCTGGCCTTGGCAGGTACTTGTACACATGTGGAATACACTTATAATGACACACACAGATCCACATAAATAAAATTAAAAATAAATTTAAAATAAAAAATAAGGTATAGGGGCTGGAGAGATGGCTCAGCAGTTAAGAGCACTGACTGCTCTTGCAGAGGACCCAGGTTCAATTCTCAGCACTCACATGGCAGCTCACAACCATCCATAACTCCAGTTCTAGAAAATCCGATGCCTTCTTCTGACCTCTGGGGGCATTGCTCAATACAGGTCCACTTACATACATGCAGGCAATATACCCATAAGCATAAAATAAAAATAATAAACAAAATATAAAAAATAAAGCACAAAAAATTGAGGAAGAATCTGACATTAACTTCTGGCCTCCACATGCACACGCACATGTGCCAAAGCTTCAAATCCATGAGTACACATATGTATACACACACAAACACAAGAAAGTTAATCCTGTAAATTTGAATTCTTATTAAATCTTAACCCTTTAAAATATGCTATTCAGTAGTAGTGAGAATAGTCACACTTTCCTGAAGCACTCTAGAACCTTTTCATTTTGCAGAACACAAACTCTGTACTGCCTTGACAACACCCCTTTTTTCCTTCCTTAGCTCCTGACAACTGCAATCATGCAGCTGCTTTTGGTCACAGTATTTTAACACAGCATCCAAAAAGGAACTAATGCTCTTTACATAAGAGGAATTACATAGTAGTTACCCTTTCACAACTGGCTCGTTTCACTTAGCACACCATGCTCAAGGTTTATCCATTTTAGCACCTGAGAAGATTCTCTTCCATTTTAAGGCTGAATAGTACTTTTATATTGTGCACATAGACCACAAGTGTTTATCCAGTCATGTACACTGAGAGGGGTTTGCTTTTACTTTTGGGCTACTGAAAAATAAATTGACAGTTTTAGTGCCTTGAGACTCATATCAGGCTTCCAATTAACAGAACTGTCAGATAATATGTTTGGCAGTGTGTATATGCCTCTGAGAGAGAGAGAGAGAGAGAGAGAGAGATTGAGAGAGCCTGCCAGGGTTTCATGTAGCTAGGCTGGCCTCAAACTCACTGTGTAACGGAGGATGATCTTGAACTCCTGATCATTCTGCCTCTACCTCCCAAGTGCTGAGATTATGTGCTGGCTTTGTGTGACCATGCAAAGCAAAAGTTCCACTTACTAATTGATGAAGTACCGGAGATTGAACCTGGGGCCTTAGCACACAATAAGCAAGTGCTCTACTATTGAGCTATACCCCCAAATAGTTGGATTTTTAGTTTTCTCAATTTGTAGTCATTTCTTACAACTGTAACAGGAAACTAATATACATCTCTCACACTGAACCGGGCTTTCTATCAACCTTTTAAATGTGCCAGTCAACTCCATATGAATTTTCATGTGGCCAGGGCTAACATTTTTGAGAAGCTTCTTTTCACTCCACTATTCTTTTTCACCTGAACTTTTATGCTAGAGGTGCGTAAAAGCAGCAAGGATTTCAGGTCTGGAACCAGTCAAGGTTCACTTCTGGTGAGTGCACTGTACACGCCCCTACACTGCCCCTCCAATGGCTGGCCATGCCTCTGCATGCTTTTCTTTGAACTTCTCTTACTCAGAAAATGTATGTTCATAGTTTAAAGAGTAGAGGAGATTCATTGGAAAGTGTCAAGGGTGGTGCTCAAGAACCCACCCGTCTAGAAAGTTTTCCTTTATGCAGGGCTCTTTTCCTTTTCCTTTACAGCAGAATCACTCTGTATATACTACAGTGTGACTTGAATTTTTTCACTGATTAACCCATTTTGGTACAGTGTCTAATGTCAATCCATAGCACTGACTACTTTTTCCCATTCATTTTAATGGTTTCATTAAAGATGGCTATAAATTTAAAAAGACTAATTTACTGATTTGTACCTATTGGATGTTCATTTATGCTGTCTGAATTTTTTCAACAATACAGAAAAATGTGATTTGGCCCATTCTTTGCAACCTTACGCAAATTTATGACACATGATGAGAAGAATTACTGGGGAAAGGACACAAAAATTTGAACATTGACAGATATTGACCCAAATACTATCCAAAAGTATACAAATGTATTCTCCTCCTTCTCAGAGTTTCTAAGCCACATTATGGTGATGCTTAAAACAAGACAGTTGACTCTTAGTACCCATTTTAAGGCCAAGAGTAGACCCAAACTGCTGGGAACCTGCTCCTTCGGATTTCTCTATACTCTAGAGCAAGAGCTTTTCTCATTCTTTATTGAAGCAGTTACGATTGGGGAAGTTCTTAGAAGTCAGACCCTCCCTTATCTTGTCAGAAAATATTTTTGCCCTTTGATTCCCTGACCTAAAATACCAAACACACAACTACAAACAGATGGGTCTCCATTTCCTTCATTGTTCGCAATGAGAAAAGCATGCTATTTGCAGCACTTTGATGTGTAAAAACACGCCAACACATTCATACACTATCTTGGGTGGAGGGTAAGAAAGGGTCCGGAGGGATTAAGGTCACAGGATTAGGTCACAAGAAGAGCAGATGGCTCTGTGAGCTTGCTTCCTTTACAAACAGTAACACTGGTTGCAAGGTTAGGTAAAAGTCATTAGTCTAGAATGTCCATATTGTAAGTCATTCCCATGTTTTCAAATGAACAGAATATAAGTGCCTGTTTTGCTGTGACCTTTTTGTTTGTTTGTTTCAGTTACCCATTTCTGTTTTAAAAAATATTTTATTTATTTTTATTATTTTTTTTAACAGAGCATAGGGTAGGGGTTTATTTACAGAAGAGTGGGCATCCCACATTTATGGCTGTGCCATAAAGTCCACACTCAAATACAGATCCTGTGACCTCCCTCTGACAGCCTCACAAAATGGTGAGAGAGGTGCCTCTTGGTGTTCTCAGCTTATATATCCTTTGCCCCTCCCCCCCACATGCAGCTAAGGTTGATGGGGTGGGACGGGTATCAGTTACCCATTTCTTAAAGAACAGTTTCTCATTGTGTTAAGTGTGATTTTTAATTCTTTGAGGTACTGTGTCTATGTTTATTGAACACTTATAATTCCTTTTATCCTACTTCAATTGAATTCACTTTTTAGATTGCTTTATTCAAGTGACTTATATGCTAAGGAAATAGGTTTTTGTCTGATTTTCTACAAATGCTTCCTTTCTAAAGGTTGTCTTCTGGCTCTACTTACAGTACTGTGTGCTGCCACAATTATAAATTTACATGTAAACAGATTGGTGTATTTCAGGCTTTTGCTTTAGGGTCATGGTTGTAATGGCCTTCCTCACTCCAAATTAACTTTTTAAAATATCCACTTGAATTGTATCTCCTTCATTTCTATTTGTTTATCTACTTATTTATTCATTTTGTCTCTGGGTATGTGAGGTATGTACATGCTCATGTGTTCATGGGCACGTGTGTGCACAAGTACATGTGGAGGCCAGAGAACAACCTCTGGGGTTATTCCTCAAGAGCTGTTCACCTTGGTTTTTGAGACAGAGTCTCCCACGGGGATCTGGGGATTGCCATAGCAAGACTTTACCAACTGAGCTGTCTTCTCGGCCCCTCATTTCTGTTTTACCCATCCAAAATTTATTTTAATGTAAGAAGAGAGAAGAAATACAGATGTCTTTTCCCTCAAGAGGTTCTCTAGAAGTTTCTATGAAGAAGCTATCTTTTCCTGTCTGATGTGAAATCCCATCTTTATCAGACAATATCCTTCAAGCCATATGGTAGATTTATTCTCTGTTTTGACGACCTCTTTCCAGGTATGTACCTTTATAGGACCTTTTTTTACTGCTACTCTTTTTGAGACAGGTTCTCCCTACATAGCCCAGGCTATCCTCAAATTCAATATCCCCCTACCTCAACAGTTCTGAAATTATAGGTATGTGTTGTCAAGCTGACTTATATTCCTTTCTAATTTATTATTTGAAACATTCTCTAGTTTTTTGCCATATTATTTTTTCAGTTAATCAATTTTCAAAACATTTTTTCTAGATAGTTTGATTTTCTGTTTGACTGAAATAAGTTACTGTGCTTTGAAGGTTTGACTCTTACCCAGATAGATGCCATGATATCGCACTTTTTCTTGAGCTGAGATCACAGTAACCTATAAAAGAAATATAATTGCTATTCTGAATAAATTGCTTTGTGATTCAGAACACAATATTCTCAGTCCAACTCTTAGCCTTTAAATCCAGAAAACAGATGTCAGCATTCAATGAAGAACTTTCTCAGGGAGAGGATGCATAGCCAACATCAGGAGTCCCATTCACTAATAAGCATTTACTGGGCATCTACCAAATTCAAGGTGTGAACAGAGTTGTTAAGGTCAAAGTGAGGGCTCTGGCAGTCCCAACAAGCTAGGTTTACTCACTTGTGCCCAGTATACCAATTATAAAGAGGCAAGCAATAATGAAAAATAGAGAAAGGAGATTCGCTTAAAGTGGTCCCACTGGGAAGTGGAACAAATAAAGGGGTCAGGGCTCCCCCCCCACTCCGTCCACCTCAGGGCCCTAACAAGAGGGTAAGACAAATGCATAATTAAGTAGCCCTGGTCATAGTGTGGTCCTGCATTGTTATGCACCAGTCTGTTCTATAAGTTGTCAGAACTGTGTGAAATCTCTTCCTGGGACAAGTTCCTCCTCTAGCTGGCACCGTGTCTTCAGCCTTTCCCTTCCCTCGGCACAAGACTCCTGCAGAAATCTTAATTCTTTAGAGATCATTGATTCAATAGTCTGATAGCCAAAGAGAGGGACACAAGTGTCTCTATTTAGAATATCATGTTTCTTTCCAAAACACCTACCAGGGGATTGTTCTGGACCTTCACGGGCTCTACGACAAGGGAAAACCACCTCTTCACATAAAGTGCTAACAGGAATGCTTTCTGGGAAGCCTAGTTTTTACTTATTTAAATTCCAGTAGCCAGGGGTGGTATACATGTCTGCAGTCCCAGCACGTGGTTGTGGCAGGAGGATCACCTGAGCTACACAGACACCTCTTTTCTCAATGACAACACTAACAACAAAACCAGCAGAACTTCAAGTTTCTATTACTGAATTCTTTTAACCAGGACAAACTGCCATTATAGGAAGAAAAAAATGAAAAAACAGAGGAAGCTGTTCCTCTCCACTGAGCCAACAGAAATCCTAGCTGGCTTTGGTCTGACAGAGAACCCTATGAGGTCCAAACTTACACACTGCCTGCTATAAACACCTATCTCTGATCTTTGAGGAGGCCAGCCAGTCTGACCTTAGTGCAGAAGTGAAAAGGTTCATTCTTTGGGAACTCAAGCACACCTTTCCATTAAGAG